ATCTTGTGCTTTCATTTCCATGGTGACTGAGTTTATTGCTCAATTTGTCCCCCCACAATTTTAATGAAGCAGGAAAAATCAGTTCACACACAAGCAGATTTGAAGCCACAGCAAAGAGGAATCAGAGTAATTGAACTTCAGCGTGTTTACCTAAGCATTGATTTTATTTACAATGCATACAATTTCTTCTTGCTACTTCTACTCTTATGTTTCTGTAGAAGCTCTTTAGCTGTGAGCTGGGCCTTTAGCAGCCTGTGAAGGTAATCAGGGTTATTCTTAGTTTGAGCTGCCCTTGTAGCCTGTAAGGCTGCTGAAGGTTGGTGTCAGCAGGTTTGCAGCACTGCTCCCATGGAGTAGTAGTCTCTTAGCAGATTACACACTGAGTGTCCATCCCTGAGTAGCTCAGGCCTAGCCTAAAATGTGACTTCCTCTGAGAAATGAGCGAATATCATTTCTCCTTTCAAAGATGGTGATCCGTTCTAGCAGCTTGGAGATTTTGGATTCCTCAGTTTGAGTTTAAATGAAGGTTTACCTACACCTATGTAAATAACCTGCTACTCCCCATTCCTGTCTGGCCTCCGTGGGTGATGGGCAGTTGTGGGAGGCGATGACGTGCAGGTGCTATGGTGGTGTTTGCTGACAAACAACTGTGCCCTGTCTCCCCACAGGTAAAAAGCCCACAGTGTGTATATTATATTTTTGGGGATTTGTGCTATCAAGTTCTTTTCCTGGACGCATTTTAGCCACGTGTTTACTGTTCCACTCGTTTCTTCTGGGAACAGCAACTCCCTGAAGAAAAATGATTGCTCTGTGGAGTCCTGTGCCTGTAGACCCAGCTCTTCCACATTAAAAGTGCTGCTTAGCAAAATATTTTCAGGTTCACAGACCCAACTTAATTTTTTTCACACATATGCTACGCTCCTACTAATTAAGTATTATGCAAGGCAAATTGTCTTCAGGAACCTGTACAACTTCATTGTCTTTATATTATGCTCAACTGTCACGCCTTCAATTGCATTACATCCATCAGATTTGCACATTCATTCAAAGGTGATAAACAATTTTGTTGTGCTCAAAAGTAAAATTCAGTAAAATTCAGCTGTATTTGCTTTGCAGAGGAGGAAATGTTGCTGAGTAAAATAACAGCATATATACATAGTCAGTTTTCAGAAGAGAGCCTCATGGAACGTAGCACTAAACCCAGACATTAAATTACTACTACAAATGAGCTGGGAAGAAAGTATACATGCAGTCATGAGATACAGTCATTTTTTTTCTCTGAGCATCAGGCAGATGAATTTTTGGTTGAATTCTAATTTTAAATACATTCAGTGATACCATTATTGCCCTTAAGAAATGCAGGCATTGTAGGTGCTACTGCATCCAGTTAAGTACTAGAGCAAAGGATCATTACACAAATGCTTGGACTTTTTTTTTTCCTAGAATCTGTTTTATTTTGTTGTGCAGTCCTGTCCATTAGGCTTTTTAGAGAGATTTGTATTTTACAGATTCCTCTTTTAGAATTTTAATTTCATTCACTTATTTAAAAGATTGACTTTGGACTCTGAGAAATGAACAATGCAAATGTTTCCTATTGACAACTGTGTTTTGTTATTTAATGATTTCTTAAACAATTCAGCATGTGTGTGGTATGGTTCCATGCCCATGCAGAGAATAAACCCTCAGCCCTACTTCTTTCTCTCCAAGATTGAATAAAGGCTGCTGAGGTTGCTGTGCCAGCTCCGGGCAAAAGGCAAGGGTGGAAACTTAGAGGAGCTGATGCCATGTGCTGGGGTTTACAGCTGGCGGAAAACGCTCTCCCTGGATGTTAATTATGTAAAAAGAGGGCAATGAGGGATGTATTCTGTAAGGGAGCTGGAACACTGGGACCGAAATACTGTGAGCACGGTGCATCCACCTATCTTTGCTTTAAGTTAGGCAACTTGGGTACCAGTTTGGCTGTGGCAGAAGGGGTCTTGGCACAGAGCAACTGCAGTCTACTGGGGTGCTCAGTCAAGCCAGTGTTATTATCTGTGAGCATGGGACAGTCACCAGCTTGAAGCTAGATTGGTAAGTCTGTTCTATACCAAAGCATAAATGAATAGTATGAACTGCTGATGGCAGGGAGGTTGGAACTAGATGATCTTTAAGGTCCCTTCCAACCCAAACCATTCTGTGATTCTATGATATGCTACCTCAAAATTTTTTCCTTGGTTGATTCCTAGGGTGTGCAGCTAGGTTCTGCTTCTTACACAGGACAGATGCAATTATAAGCAAGCCAAAATAGCTGAAGAATTAATGTGTGAAATATTTAAATGAGTATAGGAAGATATTTATTCTTCTTTATCAAACTTAAAATAAATGCAATCTAAATTTAAACATATTAGGAGTCCAAAATGATACTTCATATCCATTCATTCGTCAGGCCTGTGAAGCCAAATACAAGCTGTTTACTATTTCTACAGTTTTTTCCTTTTCCTAACTGGGATTTACCAAACTTTAATTTGCAAAGCTGTTGTGTTTTCTTAATAAATAATTTCTACTTACTAATTTGGCTGCCAAATGAGATTCCTCTAATTTCTGCAATTTCTGGAAATTTCATTCTGCTATCAATATTTGACCTTCCTTGGGGGAAAAAAAGAGTATACACGCACTGAACTATAACCCATTCTACAGCCTATTCAAGCTGTTACTTCTACACTGTACTGCAAAGCATCTGAAAACAAAATGATGTATTTCAGCCAATCATCTATTTATCAGACATTTCTATTAACTGCAAGTACAGTAGTGGTTTAATGTATCATCAAGATAGACAATGTTTGAATGTACATTTTTAGGAATTACAAATAGGACAACTATGTGTACAGCACTTTAAAATGCAGTGAACTTCTCTTCTGGTTGCATTGACAATACCAGTTCCTTACGCAGTTGATTGTGGTTAAAAGCTCTATTCCCAGTGTAATAAATGTGACACTACAGGTACAGCACTGACAGCAGAGATCATTAAGGCTCTGATCTGATGATGATTTATTTCTCTGTGCATACCTCCCCTCCACTCCCCTCTTCTCCCAGTCCCTTCCCCCCAGCACACTGTTTTTTTTCAAAGCTCATTGGCTCCAGAGTATTCAGGAAGAAAAGTTCAAGATAAAAGATTTTAACCTGAAAGTAATGTGTAATGAAATGTAGATTCATAGTAATAGCAATACCTGGTACTTATAAAGCTGTTTTAATTTTTTTAATTTTTTTTTTTTTGGTATGGCAGAAGAAATCATTATCCACATCCCATGATGTTAAACACTCTACAACAGGTAGCACACAGAGAAAAGAGTCCAGACTGAAGGTCATACAGTCAGATTGGATCTCAGCAGTCTTTGTGAATTCAAGGAAGAACTATCATCTCTATTTTTGAGATACAGAAGGTGAGGCACAGAAAACATAAATGCCTTGCTCAGAAACACACAGTGAACCAGTGGTAGATTTTGGGTCTGTTGACTCCCCAGCCACTGATTTATTTGGCCCATTCTGTCCTCTTAAACAACTAAGAGAAGATCTTCTGAGATTACATGACATCAGCCTAGTATCATAGGGGAATCAGTGTCAAATGCACACAGCCTGATTCTGCACTACCTTTTGGCATCTGTAGTCATGTTTACTTTGCACAGAGGGCCTAAAATGCCCTCAAATCAAAACTGATTTGGTGTAAACAACTAATATATGTAGTTTAATAGAGAATCAAGCTCACAGCAATTACTTTGTGGCATGCTGAGACTGGAATTAACTAACTGTTTTAAGTGCTAATGAATTAAGGCTGACTCCTGCTTACATTAAGGCCCCTGTATCCTTCTATGACAGTGTAACTGTGCCTCAGTGCAAGTGAGACTCAGGCTATTAAAAAAAAAAAAACCGTTCAGTTCCCTTTGAAGTCAATAATTTTAGTGTCCCTAAATGAATAAAATAACTGGAACTAAACAACCTATCTCTATACTATGGAATATTTACAAAAGGATTGTAAAAGGTCTTAAAAGTAATCTCAGGGAAAAACAATTATATGTTTGTTGAAGAAAAAAAATTAGATTAGATAGACTTGTTGCCTGGTCTTGAAAATGGAGAAAAGTAACACAATGACACACCTTTATATGGAGATAACTGGCTTGATGTTCAGTGGCTATGAGTATGCCCAGATAAACTGTAGATGCTTATCAGCTCTGGAGATCAAGTCAACTTGTTACACTACGACAATAAAATAGAAATAGACTTATTTGGTATTTGAGTGCTAGACATACAGGGCATAGTTTGCATAAAGCTAGTGTGTATTATATTCAGAGGAGTAGGAAGATGACCTCAAGCTCAGTAAAATGCTATTTGATCACAGATTTCTCCTATTATTATTGTTATTAAAAGCTATTATGTGTTGCTTTCTTGGAACAGGGGTTCTCCAACTTCACTCTCTGTAGCCAAACATTATTTTTTACATTCTCTCCTCTCCAAACACTCTATTCATAACAGTTTTGGTTTTAAAATCTTAATTTTTTAGACAATAGTTTAACATTTACTGGCTGAGAATAAAAAAATCCTTGCTCTATTCAAATTTAAGGCTTGGGTCCCCATGGGTTGCAGCACTTTTTAACTTATTTTTACTTCTAGTTAGAAGTAGATTTATTTTTTAAAGCTCATATGGAATTTGTTTGCGTAAATTAGCATAATTCCCTAGGCATTAGTGTGGCTATGATAATTACCCAGCTGAAGTTCTGGCCACCAAAACCTAACTCCAGTGACTGAGAAATCTGTTTTGTATACAAGTCAAATAACAGCTGGATCATATGTGATATTACATTTAGTTTCACTGTCAATTCAGAAAATATTTAATAATAAATTTCATTGCTTCTAATCCCTGGTTTGGTATACAAATAAATCATCTTTTCTAAAACATTCTTTTTCTTTAGTAAGGCTTGTATTCATAGTCATATCAAAAGTGTTTGCTACTGGAGCAATCTTTCAGCTTGCTTTCTTTAGTTTTATCTCTATTACGAAATTCTACAGCATTCTAAACTTTAATGGTCATTAGCAATCCTGCACTTGAGTAAAGAATCACATTTAAAAAGTACAAGGTATAATATTTTCTTGTCCAAAAGTAAGGCAGGACGAACAAAATTAATGAGCTCATCTGATCCTCACCTAGCAAGCCTTGATTTTAAACAGCATTCAAAATACAAAGCCCCAGATAGGATGTTGTCATGATGATTATTGCACTTTCTCAGTGTCTTGCTATAGGATTAGTTTTTCCTTTAGCAATATATATTTTCCTGAAGACCACACAAAGTTATTGTACTCTGAAAAGAAAAAAAGCACTTAAATTTTTATGAAGGTATGACCTAGACAGAAGGATACAAAACCAAATTACCATTCTATGATTCAGCTATGTGATGATCTAATATTGTTTCAAAATTATTATTCTGTTATTTCGGTTGGCATCATCTTCTGAACACTCGATGTGCTCTTTGGCATGCTACAAATTCAGCAGGTGCACTGTCTTCTGGGCTTCACAGCTTCTTCTGACGAATGTACAACATTTGGAACAAAGCCGCTCTTGACACCTTCCCATCCATCCTGTATTGAGATTTCTCCTTTTTTTACAAGTTCATAGATGTCTCGTGTAAGAATTGTAAAGGACTCCTCAACATTTGTGGCATCTTTTGCTGACGTTTCTATATATTTCATACCACAGTCCGAAGACAGTTTTTCAGCTTCTTCTCTTGTAACCTCACGCTGTGACACTAAGTCACATTTATGTCCTACTAACAGGAACACAATCTGAAAGGGCTGCACATGCATTTTTGCTTCTTCTAGCCAGTCTTTCACATGTTCAAAAGATCGTCGATTTGTGATGTCAAACACTAGTAAGCCACCCACAGAATTGCGATAATAAGAGCGTGTTATTGATCTGTGAAGAAAAAAAAAGAAAAAGGAAAATTAAAATACATAAATACATTTTCAATTTATTCACAGATTACTTTTCCATGTGGCAATGTGTTTTTATCTACTATAAGTTTTATGAAATATCTTTGCTTTTTTAAACTATTTGGAATTTATTAATCTACCTTCTACACACAAAAATGTTCCTTTTTCCTTTTTTCTTACATTCAGAAGTCACTTTCTAAACATTCTTGAAGCCAACATCTCTAGTGGGAATTTTGAACGCTGAATTATTCTGCAGAGTACTCTTTGTTAGCAAACTGTGGCACGTGTTCACAGAATAAAATATACATACTTATTTGTCAAATGCTTGTTGGTGTTAAAGTCTGAGTCCTTCAGTTTTATACAAACATGCACTTCGCTTTGTTCTAATCAGTTAGTTCAAACTGAAATATGTAGGCAGATGTTGAGAAACCTGGAGCCTAAGTTTGGCAATGTACAAGCGTATCCTTGCAGAAAAATTCTTTGATAGAAATTTATTTACAGTGAGGGTGACAGAGCACTGGAACAGGCTGCCCAGGGAGGTTGTGGAGTCTCCTTCTCTGGAGACATTCAAGACCTGCCTGGACGCCTTCCTGTGTGATTTCATTTAGGTTCCTGCTCTGGCAGGGGGATTGGACTAGATGATCTTTCGAGGTCCCTTCCAATCCCTGACATTCTGTGATTCTGTGATTCTGTGAAAAGTTTGTACAGATAATTGTAATTCTTTGTGCTTGCAGAAGTCAACAGGTAGCAGACTAAGAAAGGAAACTCCCTAAACAAAACTGTCCAAAAGTAACTGAGCTGGCCAAACAGCCCCGTGTTACAGCATTGGCAAGGAACACTTCTACCTCCAGCATCTCTCTCATGCAGACGTTCTAAAGCTCTTTATAATTTCATTTACTCTTTTTTGGCATGAGACTTCCAGGACTGACAACAGGTATTTTCTACTTTTGAGCCCTCTGTGTTCCAGAGCATTCACTGGAAGGAATTTTGGAAAAAGGAAACCATTCTTCTGGTTGAAAAGATTTTTAATATGCTCTAGAAGAAGAAAAGATGTTTGCTAGAATGTAGAGAGAGAGAAAGATAAAGGGACTAAAATGATTGTAAGTCTCTAATCATGAGCAACAGGGGAGGATGGAGAAGGTGAGAAGAGACATTTTAAAGGAAGTGACAGCCTACCAAGGAGTGGATGCAAGCACTTGTTACTAGCATAAATATACAGCTAGTGTATATAAGCATTCTCCAACTGAAATGAGATGCACAAGCCCTATTAACAGTCATTATCTGAAATTATAATTTATCCAAGAATTAATTCAATTTTATCTTATGATTGTGAAGAGGATGCAGCCTCAAAACTTTTGGAATCAGGAACTTTTGGATGAACTGTACACAGTAACAAATCTTTGCATAACAGTAGCTCTCTCTGATTTTGAGTTCATCTCGTTTTATATTGTGTTTTATAACAATTTGAACGTAGAGGTGTAATTAGCAGCAGCAGTCGTACTGCAGATAGGTAAGGTCACAGCTAGATAAGGCTTAGGTTTCTTGGCATATCTAAATTCTTTTAGCCCCAGCAAATGTTATTAGATAACAGGGAGGGATTGTTTGTCCTAATGTTTAGGAAGATCTTTTCTACATTCCCAGCAATAAAATCCATGTATTGTCTCTTTGAACAGTTTGAATGTGAAGACAACAGGATCTTACCCTCAGATTAATTTAAATAGCCCTGATATGAAAAATGACACACAGTTTTGCACAAGTATTTAAGATAAAAAATGAGGGATGTCACATTTTGTGAAGTATTAAATAAAGGTGCCATAAGGATCTGTTTCGGGTTTTCTTAAGCATTTTTTTGCTGTAGAGCTGTTACAGACACAAATGAGTACAATAATTAAAGTGGTTCTAGAAAGAGCAGAAGTGGGTGACAAAACTGGGATTCAATTTGGAGAAGTGGAAGCTAATAATAATTAAAAAAACCTCAAAAACTGTTATGCCAAAGAAATGCATTAGCCAGGGAAGAAAGTAGGTTAATATTGAAAACGCAGTGCATCATTTACCAAGCATTTCTATACAGAGCAATGTTGTATCAGGTATCTATGAACTGGAGTACTGGAAAACATCCCTCCATGCGTTACTGGGTGCTTATCCACAGCAGTGAGAACCCTCATCTGTTGTAACTCACTTCTGCAGAGACATGCTAATTTACACTAGCTGATGATCTAAGCCATTATATTTAATTATGTGTATGTATTGCCTGTAATGGAGATGGTTAAAAAGCATCTGTAACTTTGAGCTGTACATCACAAAAACTGGGTGAATGTATGGGAGAGACAACTGTCATTTTTTCTATATTTTTGGTATATATAATTTGAAATTAATTTTCTCATTACCAAAAAAAAAAAGGTTGACATACTGAAGAGGCTTTAGAAAACAGTAACAAAAGAAAAAAGTATCATAAAAAGTTTTAAAGATACATATGATGTCATATGATTGCCTAACATGTGAGAAAAGGATGATGTTTGTTAAACCGTGGTCTCCAAATATTTGAACAGTTTTACTATTAAGGTGAGTTACTATTTGCAGGTATATTTAAAAATAAAGTACTCCTGACAAATAAGACAAATTTTGAAGCAGAAAGTTTAGGCCATCAACTGGGAAAAACGTCTGGGCACGTGAATGTGGTAGATTGTTCAACAGGATCTGAAACATCTTACAGATCCAAAATCATGGCTTAAATATGACGATCAGAGTAATTAAATATTAGACATATATTTTTAGTAGACAGCTTAGAGTTATTTGGAAAATGAACTGTGTGAAGTGGATGTACTTCTGCTTACTTATGCCCTGTATCACACCTAGAAAGAATGAAAGAGCATTGACTTAGGTGCTCTGGTAGGTCTCCCAACTTTTGTTCTAGTTTGTTTTTTTCTCTGTATGACTAAGTGCAAGGGCGATTTTTGCCTCTTATTAATATTATTGCTAAAGATTATAGAACTTTTAAGTGCTTTCAACAAGGCTTAGGCAGAACTGTAACACCAACATCTAAAGTTGTGCTCCACTCAGCTTCGTATCTAACATGGTGCCTGAACAAGTTCCCCGGGGACGCGAGCGCTCTGCCTCTGTGCAGGCTGTGAGCCGCTCAGCGGGGACAGCCCGGCCTTCCCTCTTAGCCTGGATCTCAGCTGAAAACAAACCATTGCTCCAGGTCAGTGTGCAGAAGGGTTCCACTTGGGAGGGCTTCCCAAGAGCGCTCCAACACCCTCAGATGGGTTCAAGCTCTTCACAAAATGCAGAGAAACCTTCCTTCAGCACAACGGAGGCACCTGTCCTTCACACAGGTTCCTCATGGACTGCTTCACCAGGCACGGGTCAGTGTTCACAGGGCCCATGGTACAGAGGCTGCTTGAGGTGTTTTGCTCAGAAGACGTACAGCTTTATAGACTTTATGGGCCATGGCAATGTACTGCACATGATTTCACTGAAAAGCTTGATGATGAGAGGGCATGGTAGCCAACAAACGACCGGTGGGCAGCAGGTCGAGGGAGGTGTTTCTGGCCCTCTACTCTGCTTGGGTGAGACCTAACCTGCAGTGCTGTGTCCAGTTCTGGAGTCCTCAGTACAAGAAAGACATGGACCTGTTGGAGTGGGTCCAGAGGAGGCCACAAAAATGATCAGAGGGATGGAACACATCTCCTATAAGGAAAGGTTGAGAGAGTTGGGGCTGTTGAGCCTGGAGAAGAGAAGGCTCCAGGGAGACCTTATAGTGGCCTTTCAATACTTGAAGAGGGTCTATAAGAAAGATGAAGACAAACTTTTTAGCAGGGCCTGTAGTGATAGGACAAGGGGTAATGGTTTTAAACTAAATGAGGGTAGATTCAGACTAGATAGAAGGAAGAAATCTTTTATAATGAGGGTAGTGAAACACTGGCACAGGTTGCCCAGAGAGGTGGTAGAAGCCCCATCCCTGGAAACATTCAAGGTCAGATTGGAGGGGGCTCTGAGCAACCTGGTCTAGTTGAAGGTGTCCCTGCTCACTGCAGGGGGTTGGACTAGGTGACCTTTAAAGGTACCTTCCAACATAAACCAGTCTGTGATTCTATCAGGAGGGCTGACAGTAAAAGGCTCTTTATGCAACAGCTGGTAGACTTGTAGATCTCCTTGGGAAAGGTGTTATGAATGCACAGAGTTTATCTGTATTTCATGGAAGACTGAACAAGTACTGAACAAGAGACTGAGTAAGGTTTAATAAGTAGACAAACTGCATCAGTCTCCAGAAGCCCCTCAAGTTGAAAGTACAGGCTAGCAGAGTACTCAGGAGAATTCAAACTATCAGAGACAGGATATCTGAGTATGGACCATAGACAAAAATCAAACTGGTCTTTCTTGTGTTCCTTCACAAGCAGGGAATGCGCTTACATGACTATACACAATTTGGTAGTGCTGCACGATAAGATTCTAAAAGCAAAATAAAGTTTTTAACTCCCTCACTGTTACCACTTTTTGAACAAAAGGAAGAAAACCTTGGGTCCTTCAAGTTTTTCAGCCTAGGATGAGGAACTGCTGACATGTCTGGTTTGATGTAGTCAAACTTATTCAGTAGATGTTTAAATTTCCATTTCTCAAATTATCCCCATGCAGATCCTACATTCTTGTTGAAATGATGGCTTCTCATGTAAACTTTGGTTCAGCTAATTAATGTCATTAAATGAGCATTATGGAAGGGAATGTGTTACTTGCAGCACCATGATTAATTTTCTCTGGGGAAGGAGGGAGAGGGGAATACTTCCTTTAGTAGAGGGAAAGACTTAAGTTAGGGACAGGGTGAGAGTCAGGTGAAAAATCAATGGCCAAAGAACAGCCTTTCTACTAAAATTGAAGCTTACAATCTCCTTCCAATAAACCGTTCAGAGGAGGTGCTGGTTGGAAGTGGGAAGCCGAACTTCTTTCAGATTCAGAATCTGGAAAATCTGCCTGTGACTTTGAATG